GCGCTCCCCGCGGAAAGATAACCCTGCGATAGGCGGCGGCGAGCGGTGGCGTCGGCGGTGGCGGCGGTGGCGGCGGTGGCGGCGGCAGCCTTGCGTGCGGCCGCCGCCTTAGAGCCCATCTCAATGCCATCTGACGCCGGCTGCAGCGCGGCGCGCCGGCGCGCGCGCTCAGGGCCCGCCCGATTGTTTTCGGCGAGGCCCGGCGCGGCGCGCCCGGTCGCCGTGCCTTCCGGGCCGCCGAGCGCGTAAGGCTGCCGCCCGGCGCGACGCTGTTTTTCGTCATTGCTATCAAGGCCACGCGGCTTTGTCGGGCGCCGGCTAATGGACCCGTCTTGTATCTGTACCGTCGGGTAGAATGCATTAATGAGCGCGGCCTGGCGGCGGATGAGAGACGGCCGCCGTGCGTCGGCCGCTCGCGCGCGGCCGCGTCCCCTGGCGGCGACGGCTTGCCACCCACCAAGCGTCACCGGCCGCGTCTTTCTCACAGTAAAAAACAGCGTAACAAGCGCTGGTCCTTGTCAAGTGGGACCCGCGCGCCGCACTGAAACAAATAAGTCATTATTGGCGGCGGTGGGACGGCGGCCGGCGCGACAGCGGAGCCGGTGCGGCTCGGCGGCGGCCGGACCGTGCTTATTAGCGGTGCCGGCCGCGTGTGCGGCCCGGACGCGCCCAGGCCGAGCCGCGGTGATTACTGCCGGCCGCCTGATGCCCGGCTTGCATGCCGACTGTCATTACACGCGGCGCGGCGCGGCGCGGCGCGGTGGCGAGCGGCGGCGCGGCGGCGCGGCGCAGCGCCGCAAACGACGCACACGCACGGGCGGCGCGCGGCGCTTCGGCGAAGTAGCCGGTGCGGGCGGCGGCGGCGCGCCCCGGTGACGCCGCGGCGGCGGCCGGCGAGCACCCGGGCCGACTCATGCCGCCGCCGCCGCCGCCGCGTTCCACGAACGTGCTCTGGGCGGCCGGCCTTCCGCGGCGGCCGGCGCGCCCCGTCATTACGTCTGCTCGGTCGGCCGAGAGGGCGCCCGAGCCGCGGCCGCCGGCACGCCATCGCCGCCCCGTTGCCATGGCCACGGCCGAACGGGCCGAGGGCGGCCGGCTGCGAGAGGCGGCGGCCGCGGCCGCCGCGCCGGCAGACGACCTCCGGGGCTATTGTCTTTACAACCGCGACTTTCAAGGGAAGCTGGCCCCAGCCGCCGGACGAATTCGATCCATCGGAGGCCTTCGGTGCGGCCGCAAGAATGTCCGCTCTATTACCTTCCTCAGCGTACTCTACCGCAAAATAGCTGTTTCGGGCTTTTCGGGGAGGGCAGACGGGCCTGTCCGGTAAATGAAGGACTGGGTGGTCATGATCTAGTGAAAAGAGTAGGTTCCAGTAGACGCTTAGGCTAATGACAGCGGCTGGCCAAACTGGGATTTTCTGCCCTCGTTTCGTCCATCTGCGCTCTGCAACGGATGACGAATAGCCGTCAAAGTTCATTGACCTCGGCCGACCGGCTTTGGCTTTGTGCCTGTTCGGGTCGTTACTTGGTCGGTTTATGTGCGCCATGCTGAGATTTTAAAGCCGACAAAGTATGACTGCTGCGTTTGCGTGACACGAGTACGCGGAAGCATGCCAGCTGCACATTTCGGCCGGGGTTGACCGCGCACCTTTCGCTTCCCGGAATGTCCCCCCTCCCCGCCACCGTCCCGTCCACTCACCAAACTGCCCCGGAGCGACGCAGGCCCGCCCCTGACGCCTGCAGCGCTGCCGTCCCTCGCTGCCGATGCCAGCCTGGCGTGCTGCAGAGCGGCTCGAACCGGTGCGTGCAACCCGGGGCCGCCCGATCTCCGGCACGGCGCCGCCACCGCCCGCCCGGGCAGCCGCCGAACGGGAGCGTTTACGAGGCGGAGGCCGGCCCCTCGGCCGCTTTACGGCCGGGCGCGACTGCACCAATGATCCGCGCGTTACTGCCGGCGCGACGACACTGTAATCGCGACCATCCGGCCGCCAACGACTTGTCGGCGCGGCGCCGGCGGCGGCCGGGGACACTCGCCGCGCCCGGCTCGTGCCGCGCGCGCCGCTGTGAATCAATGGAGAGGCCGGGGTGCCGGCCGTGCAGCGCCGAAGGAGCGGCACGTCAGCCCGCCGCCGCGCGTCGGCGCTTGCAGGGCGCCGGCATGCGATTGTGTGGGGTCCCGCCGTCGACGAGCGGTGTCTGGCGTTCAGGCGACAGTTCGAGAGCGAGTGACGCGAGCGAGCGTGCTGCGGCTCTCGCCGCTTTGTGTTTCTCTTCGCGCTTGTTTATGCGGCGCGGGCGATGAGAGACGCGTCCGCGATCTCCGGCTGGATCTGGAGACGAGCAGGGACAGTGCCAGGCTCGTGGGGTGGGGGAACGGGGACAGCGCCTGTGTCGGCGGGTCGACAGCCGCCCGTGGGTGGTCAAGTGTCGCCCGCGCCTACGACTGGCCCAGTGCCCCAGCTCGCGAGCCGCCACCCCCGCGCCCCTGGCCTCGCCCCTGCCCAGCCCGTCCGACCCATCGCGCCGCGCCGTCCGGCCCTTTTGTTTTGGTGTCGGTGCTCCAGAGCTCCCGGCCCCGGGGCCAGCACCGTTTGACTAATGGGCTTCCAAAAGCATTTTTGATATAATCCATCCGTTACTCTTTAATCGGACAGGGTGGCCGCGAGGTGTGAGAACGCCGACGCCCGTCTGACGGCGCGGACGCGCCGGCAGCTGACGTGCCCCGGCGGTGGCGGACGCCCGGGTGACGGGCTCCGGGACAGGGGGGGGGGGGGGGGGGCAGTGGCCGGAGCAGCGGCCGGAGCGGCGGCCGGCCGGGTCGGCGCGATCCGCGTCACCCAGCAGCGGCGCCGCGCCGTCCGCAGACGCAGCTGGCGCCGCGGCCGGCCACCGCGAACCGGCCAAAGAAGCGCGCCGCGAGCCGCCGCGCGGCGCAAGAACGGCGCGGGAGCGGCCGGCCCGGGCACGCGGTGGCGGCCATCGGCCTCACGGAGCATGCTGCCGGTAGCCGGGCCACGCCGCCGCCCGCCCGCGCCCGCCGTGGCGCCCGAAGTCCTAGGTGACGACGGCGGCGCGCCGGGATGGTGCCAACACATGGCCGTGGGCGTCGGCCCCCCGGCCCCGTGCCGGAGCGCCGCGTCATGGAGTCGGTGACCACGGGTGGACCCGGTCCGTCGCCCGACCGGCCCTCGCTCCACACTTGGCCGGGAATTTATTCATGCGCGGCGAACGAGGCGGCCGCCGCGCTCGGCCAGGACGGGAAGATTAATTTCGCCGATCCGGGCCGGCGGGAGGAGAGCCGACTCAGGAATCCCGGCTAATACGCACCCCTCGCTGCGCGCTTGTCTTCCGCTGAGATTGCATACGGCCAGGCCATTAATCACACATTTTTAAGAATGGATCGTCGGGCGACGGCCACCGGCCGACGGCCGCTGCTCTCCACTCGTCACGGCTGCCCGGCGAGGCGCGAGACCATTAAGATGAGAGCCGACCCGGCCGCTTTACAGCGCAGCTGTCGCGTCCCGCGGCCGCCGTTTGTCCGGCGACGCTCTCGGGTTGCGCGGTCGTCTCTCAAACGCTCTGGTGACGCTGGGCCTGACGAGGCAATTGCCGCGGCGGCCGCGCCGGGACGGCCGCCGCGGGCCAGAGCCGAGGTGATGGCGACTCGCGTCCGGGGCTAGTGTTCAGCCCGGAATAGGCGTCGTCCTCACGGCCGGCTCAGGAAGACCAAACGACGTCGCCGGCAGCAGCTGGCGTCGTAAAGTTCTTCGGAGACCTTCCAGGAACACTAAACTCCTTTACAGCCATCCTACAAGCAATTAAGCTGTAAATTGGACGATCGCGTCTATTGTGCAACTGAAAAAGTTTTTTTGTCCGCGCCATTTAATGTTCGCCTTCTAAAACCGCGCCGCGCCGGCCGGCCGTGAGCGGCGCGGCGACGTCTCCATCACGCCGCGTTCGCCGCCGGTGCCGTCTCTGGCGCGCCGCCCGCCGTCCCGGGCCGGGCTTGAGTGGCGCCGATTGGCCCCAGCGTGTATCACCGCTCCACTTCTGGGACACGTAGGCGGGGGCGAGGCGATGGGAACGACCGCCGGGAACTGTGTCAGCCGCCATCGTCACACGCACCGGCGCTAAGTGGGCGGCGCCGCCGGCCACGCCCGCGGCCGAGATGTCTCCGCGGCCGGGGGCGCGATGTCTCTGTCGCGATGGAGCATTACGCTCCCCTGGATGGCAGTAGATGCGTCGAGGCCGTACTACATTATGTCCCGGTGATTGGTGACCCAATGTTTCGCGGTCGGGGACGCACTGCCTTGTAGCTGGCGACATCCTGTCTCGAAGTTCGAGATGCACCGACGCATGGGTGGGGTTGGGCTGCGCTCCTGACTAGGGCCAGGCCCGTGTCGCTGCTAGCCAGTGCCAGGAGCGGAAATTCCTCAGCCGTGGAGACAGGTGTTTGGGGTCCGGCGCCAATGCGGTGCACCGATGAACAGTGGGTCGCTCAGACCCCATATGAAGCTAGAGAGTAACGGGGTCATATTCTCCAATAGGCCACACCGGGCAGGTTTGTGTAAAATATGTAGTCCAGCGGGCAATGCCCACTGTGCAAACACACGCACAGGCGTATTGTCTACCGCGAATAATACTGGGGAGATGAAAACAGTGAAATAGATGTAGCTTTGAAGCATTGAGGAGACGACATGAAAAAATGAACTGCGCGTCTTTGATGCGGAAGTTCAAACAATGCGATTTCAGAGAGCCCATTGAGTAAGATGATGCCCAGTCATGGCCCCGATTTCACACCGATCACGCCAAAATAAGATGACGTATCGCACTCCCTGAAACACTTACATCTCAGCACCCAAGCATCTAAGCACATAAACATCACCCACAAACATCATCATTATCATAAGCAAGCCGTTTGATTTTCATGATTTCGACGCCATCCCCGCACGAGGGCGATGCATCTGATCCAGATCACTTACGAGTACTCGTCTTTGACAGGTGTCGGCCACGGACCCGGACTGCGGGGTCAACGCCCAGGTCAACTACAGCATCGGCCATGGCTTCAAGAAGCTGGGGTCGTTCAGCATCCAGCCGGAAACGGGCGACATCTGCATCTTGTCGCCGCTCGACCATGAAAATCGGGCCATCTACGAGTTCCCCGTGGTCGCCATGGATCGAGGTGAGAAAGCTGTTCTCCGTGGTCGCCGCGGCCGGTGAGGGGTCTCATTTTCCTGCGGTCTGGCCGGAAGTCGTCTTCAGTCCCCTGAAGGCATGGCTCATGATGTGAGTGGTGCTGAATTTCCAGCTGCCGGCATTGTTAACGACAGGCACGAGCTTCCTGTGACAGCCGCAGACATGATGTGCCTATGACTTTCCCGTTGTCACGGTTACGGCGAATCCGAGTTTCCTATGGTCGTTATGGTTACCGAGAGGTCTGGGTTTCCAATGGTCGTTACGGTTACCGGGAGGCCTGCGTCGCCTGCGGTCGCCATGGCCGTACGTGGTCAGGATTTGGGTCCGAGCGCCACGGACTGGCCGGCCGGCCTTCCTCCGTTGAACCCCATTAAAAGGCGATTAGGTGAGAGGAACAGTCTAATAGGGCCTAATGACTATCAGGGCGCGGGACTATCGCGGCCGGTGCGGCAGACGCTGGTCCGAACGACGCGCAGCATCCGCGGGAGGGTGACTGATGGCCGTCACCGCACACGTCCCCGCTCCAGTCGGTGCGAGGGGACACCGGGCACCCTCGGGTCATCCGCGGGAGGGTGACTGATGGCCGTCACCGCACACGTCCCCGCTCCAGTCGGTGCGAGGGGACACCGGACACCCTCGGGTCATCCGCGGGAGGGTGACTGATGGCCGTCACAGCGTACGCCCCCGCTCCAGTCGGTGGGAGGGGACACCGGGCACCCTCGTGTCATCCGTGGGAGGATGACTGACGGCCATCACCGCTCACGTCACCGCCCCAGTCGGTGGGAGGGGACACCGGGCACCCTCGTGTCATCCGTGGGAGGATGACTGACGGCCATCACCGCTCACGTCACCGCCCCAGTCGGTGAGAGGGGACACCGGGCACCCTCGGGTCATCCGCGGGAGGGTGACTGATGGCCATCACCGCACACGTCACCGCCCCAGTCGGTGGGAGGGGATACCGGGCACCCTCGGGTCATCCGCGGGAGGGTGACTGATGGCCGTCACCGCACACGTCCCCGCCCCAGTCGGTGGGAGGGGATACCGGGCACCCTCGGGTCATCCGCGGGAGGGTGACTGACGGCCATCACCGCACACGTCCCCGCCCCAGTCGGTGGGAGGGGATACCGGGCATCCTCGGGTCATTTGGCCTGCTTAACTTCGCGCAGTAAATCGAAGAAAAGATGTTCGGAACTGGACCATAAGACTTCCCCGGATTTTCGAGGCTCCTTTGACGTCCTTGCACCACGTTGCCCGCTGTAATTCTGCCTATGGAGCACAGTCCAGGTTCGGCCACGCCGCTGGCCGTGCCGGAACGACGCCATTGGTCACGAACCCAGCAAATCGGGCGGAGGGGAGACTGGAGAGAGAGCCGTTTGCGTCCCGGTCCCTAATCTGGCCCTCTATGAACTGGTTTATATTCATGACGGCCGCGCGCGTGCGCGTAGGCCAGGCAGGTGTGTATATCTGTCACTTTTTCAACCGTCCGGGCCAGTTGAAAGTAAAATAGATGCGTTGTTTTTAACGTGGTAGGCGGTCCTCGGGCCGCAGCATAACTCGCACTCTCTCTCGGCACGGCGGATCAAGTGCGCTGCGCTGCCCCCGGCCGGCCAAGCCCGGGGTTAAACCCCGCCTCGGAAAACAAATCGTCCGCGCTAGAGTTGCATCACCACGGAACAGCGCACGAAATGGTCCACATCGCGGCTCATGGATCTCGCTCCGGCGGGCCGCCGTGCTCGAAAGGGGGGGGGGGAGGGGGCAGGCGCTGGTCAGCCGCGGGCGCTGCCTCGGCGCAGCCGGCCGGCCAGCGCTGGGCGACGGTCTCATCTGGGGCTAGCGCCGGACTCATCGCTCAAAGTTAGCGCTGTCATCCGGAGCCCGTCCATCAGCTCCGCCCTCGCGCCGCGGGGTGGTCCCCAGCGCTTGGCGGCGACGCTCAGGGCCGGCCCGCCCCGGCCGTCGGCGAGTCCTCCGGCGGTCCCACGCCGGGACGGGCGGACCCGCAGCCGACGGCGGGTCCTCCGCCGGTCCCACGCCGGGACGGGCGGACCCGTGGCCGGCGGTGGATCCTCGGCCGGGCCCACGCCGGGACGGGCGGACCTGCAGCCGGCGATGGGTTCTCAGCCGGGCCCACGCCGGGACGGGCGGACCCGCAGCGGACGGCGGACCGGGCGGCACGACCGCAGCCGTCCCGTTCCGTCGTCGCGCCGCGCGCCCGAACGTCAGATCGGTCCACCGCAGAAGCCGTCAGATCGGTGAAACTCGTCTCGTTAGCCGCTCGCCGATGGATTCGCCCCAGTTCGGCCGGCGTGTCTGTCGGCCGGCGCAGGACGGCGGCGGCCTCGGCCGCTGTCGGCGCCGCCTCCCACAGGGTCACGGGTCAACAATTAATGACGGAATCAGCGCGCTCGCCCTCCTCCTGCGCGTCGCGACCGCGTCGGCCGACCGGCGCGAACAAAGGCCGGTGCCGGCTCTGGCCCCCGGATGTTTACGGAACCGCCGACAAACCGGCGACGACCCGGCGCCCGGTCACGTGGGCGCCGGTGCCCGGCGTGCGTGACGTCACGTGACCGGCGGCGCGGCCGCCGGCGACATCGGCGAGCCCGCCCAGCTAATGGCCGGCCCCGGCAGAGGCGGCGGCAGCGCCGCTCGGCGACGGGGCGACTGCGAGGGCACGGGGCGGCCGCCGGCGGGGTCACGGCCGGGCTCGGCGGCAGACCCAGACCCAGATCCGGCCTGTCGTAGGGGGCGGTCGAATCGCACGGTGCGGGAGGCCGGGTCTGGTGGGCAGTTTCCGAATGCTGGGTGTAACGGTCACAGTTTGTCTGCTTCTTTGCTGGAACTTGAGATTCACAGTTGTGCGTCTAGTTGCCGGATGGGTCCGGTCAGAACCTCACCGTCCGGCTGTCCGGCGGGATGTCGGATCTCGCGGTTTCATCGAATGACGTGGCGCGGCACCTCCCGAACACCCCGCGCCACGATGTCTAGTCTCACGGTCACGCGGCGTGACGTTCGTGTAGCCAATGCCTGACTGCTGGTCTGTATGTGTCTGTGCGAGCAAGTGTATGTGTGTATGTCTGTGTGCCCCTGTGTCTCTGTATTCTACCCTTTTTCTGTGCGTTTGTGCGGGCTATGACATTAAGCGTCGCATCTTGGCCTGTGTTGCGCGTGCATGTGAGTCTGCTCACTCCTGCGCTTATCTGCCTGCGTTTGTATCTTTGTTCCCTGTCACGGGCACCTTTTGCCCGTACCCCACCGCGCCACTGCCTGACACCGCCTCTGTCTGCCGCACTGCGCCGCCGACTGGCGCCGCCTCTGGCCGTGTGGATGGACGCCCGCCCGATCACGCCCCCCGAGGACATAAATAAGATGGCGGCCGGCCGGGCGGCGCGCGCCGGGCCGGGAGGGAACCTGCTGGGCCCGCCTCTGACGGCTCGCGGGGAGCGGTCCGGTCCGCGCCGATCTGGACCGGTGTCCACCCGGTCCCTGGCGGACGTGGGCAACGTCCAGGCCCTTCCAGCGAGCTGGAACGGTATTCCGGAGCCTGGGGCGAGGCGCTGACGCGCCGCGCCAGGTGCCGAAGACGGCGGCCGTCCTGCGAGGGCTGGCTCGGTGAGGCTCCAGCTCGCGCTCCGATCTACCGAGGCCGCCGTCCTGCGTGGTGAGGCCGTCACCGGACTCGCGACGAACGCCGGATGCCGTGACGCGTGACAGCAGCCGGTGGGAGGTGGCAGCCAAAGCAGCTCGGCCGTCGCCCGGCGGCGCGGCCGACATTCCGGTGTTCTGCGCCCGCCGGCCGCCGACCGCGCCAAACACGCACTCGCAGAGGCACGTACGCCGTCCGAAATAGCAGCCAACACGTTACGCTGAGTCGACCAAAGTGCTCGTTTGGGGTTGCCCATTACGCAAATGGTCGGCGAGCTGGGCTAAACGCTCGCAGACTGCCGTCTCGCCGGCCGTTTTCTGCAAGGTTTGCCGAACGCATGGCGCCACCGCTGCTTCGAGGCTGTGGCCGGACAATGGCGCTTCGTGCCGGACAGCGCAGACTCGGGCGGGTCGGACATCTGCGCCATCAGAACTATGCGCGCTGTGATGGGTATGACACTGTCTACGGAGTCCGCTGCCCTTCACACATTTTCCTCCAAGCCCCGGATGACTGACGGCCGCCACATGACCGATTCAGCCGAGACTGGTCCAGCTCGACCCAACCCGACCCAACCCGACCCGACCCGACCCGACCCGACCCGGTCCGACCCGACCCGGTCCGGTGCGGCGACACCCGGTCCACGGCCGGCGCGGCGCCGGGCGCGCCGTGCCGGCGAAATGGGCAGCCGGCCGAGGTGGGGACCGGCCATTCTCCTCGGCCGTTTTTGTGCCGGCCGGCGACCGTTTTTCGGCTCCTCTCCCACCTCGCCGCGCACGCAAGCGGCGACAGAGAGAAATGGGCCAAACCAGAAGTATTTATAGAGCCGGACGGTCGCCGGCGTACACGTGATATTGATCTCTGTGGCCTGCGCTGCGACAGTCTTTTTGCTGCACGCCTGATTGATGCCGTACATTACACTGCACTCTCCAAAAATGGTGCGCACTTGTGCAGCGCTGACGGACGGGGCTGGAGTGGCGGCCGTCCGCCCGCGCGGCTCAGCCGGGGGTTGGCACCTCGCTCGTCGCCCCGCCTCCTCGTCGGCTCGCTCCGGCCAGTGGTCGCCGTCCGCCGGCGCCTCTGTGACATCAGCGGCGCTCGTCGCGGGCGCCTGTGCCGGCTGGCCGCTGGTCGGCGCGGCGGCACCGGCCCCGTGTGCCGCCGCTCCGCAGCGGCGTCAGGGTGTGCCCGTCCTGCCGCGGTCCGAGAGCGGCGTCGGCGCCAGCAGCCGCCCTACATCCGCCCCTGCTCGAACGGCTTACAGGCGGACGCCGGGATTACCTGAAACGCAAGGGAGGAATTGAATGGTCGAGTATCCGGACAAAAGGACTGAAAGGAAATCCACCATTATCCGGCCGGGCTGGCGCGGCCAATTATGTTCGCATCCTACCCTGCTCGTCGGCCATGTTGTGCCACAAAAAGCGACAAATAGCGACAGGTGATCATTAACCTGGACGGCGCGGCTGTATAGGCAAGCAACGGGGTGATATTGTTCATATTTTTGTCGCGGTTTCTTCTAGTGGCCACGTCGCGAGCGCATCATGCCCGGTGAATAATAAACACGTGGCGAGGCTTTCACAATGGACTGATGGGCGGACTGCGGTGGCGGACGCGGCTTTTTCGTCGTCGCGTTGCCTACATTGTGCTCTCGTCTCGCGGCGCCGCTGTAAAACAAGGTGACGCACCTGACCCGGCCCGGCCGCCGGACGCATGCCGGCCGTGTTCTCGGGTGTGTAAGCGCCCCCCGTCGGGTGGCCCGGATGTGGCGCGCCGGCGTCGCCATGGCAACGGAGCGGCGCCACTCTGCAGCCATCGGCTCGGCGAGCCGACAGGCGACGGCCTCCTGCTTGACTTGCAGATGGGACGGGCATTGGCATGAAACGAATTCGGTTTCGTCGCGCTTAGATTTTTGCACCCACTTATGGTGAGCGACACGAGGCTTCTTTTACAGCTGAGCCATGCAACGGTCGCGCCGCAGCGGCGAGGGCACACCGTGTGGCGCCGCACGGAGCTGCATAGGCGTTTCCTACATGCATTTGAGCTTGTGGTTTTCTGGTCCTTCGCTGGAATTAGCAGCGCCCCTACGTGGTCAGCCGTCCTTCGATGTTGTAAAAGAGTTTGATGATGGTGCCGAGCGCACACGACGGATACCCGAATGCACACGATTTCCAGTTATGTATGTGAGTGGAAAGGCATATGGCTCGAGAGAGGGTAGGCTGCCGTTTGCATGACGGATGTTCCGAAAGGGGCAGATTGGAAAGGCAAGGACAGAAGACCGAAGATACGTCACCGCCTTACATAACCGAGCTTTTGACGATGACAAATGCTTGATCCTCGACGGCTTATGACAGACGAAGAGGCATGACTGGTGCTCCAGCCTGAGCGGCCAAAGAATACAAACATGCCGGTGTATACTGGTAGGCGTGTACGCATGGCTCAAGTAAATGCACCGTTCTTGTCATCACAATCACGGCGGATGTTCGGGACTGCATAGCATTCGCTCGACTAGTCTCCACCTTTCCGCCTCCAAGGTGTCTGACCCGTTAACGAAGTTTCTTGAACGCGCCGGCGCCTGTACCTGCGACAGCCTTCTATGCGCGGCGTACACCCATGGTGATGCACGCATGCTGGGAAAGAACTCACCAATCGCAAGCACGAGCCAACATGGTCTTCCCACCCCATGCTGTAGTGTTTCCCTCGTGCATGCCCAAACGGTGTTCTTGACGGCCGCTGACGCCCCTCGCTCCGTGCCCGCAGGCGGTCTGAGCACGACAGCTATGGTCAAGGTGCAGGTGGGCGACGTGAACGACAACCGACCCACCTTCTACCCGCGCCAGTACAATGTCAGCCTGCGCGAGGACCAGGCGCGCACGGCGCCCGTCGTCGTCGTCGTCGCCACCGACCCCGACTCGGCGCTCAACGGCCGCATCCGCTACGGCATCGTGCGCGGCAACGGCGAGGGCCTGTTCAGGATCGACGCCGAGTCCGGGGAGGTGAGAGCGTCCGGTCCTGCCTGTACTGAGAGGGACGCCTACAGTGTCTGGTCTCGCCTGCTCTGAGAGGGACGCCTCCAGCGTCCGGTCCTGTCTGCTCTGAGAGGGACGCCTCCAGCATCCGGTCACGCCTGCTCTGAGAGGGACGCCTCCAGCGTCCGGTCCTGTCTGCTCTGAGAGGGACGCCTCCAGCATCCGGTCCCGCCTGCTCTGAGAGGGTTGCCTCCAGCATCCGGTGGCGATAGGGAGGGGGGGGGGGGGGTATTGCCGGCTGTTGATTCGGTCTTTAGAAAACGGAAATGACTGGAGAATCGTGATAGAGTCAGGAATGCTCCGCGCCTTTGTTTGCGTGCACGCTTTGTTCCGCCGCAAGCCCCACATACTGGCGAACTCTTCCTGCCACAGGCCTCACCCAAACCCATCCGCTGCACGAGATCCTCTCGGCGCAGGCTCTTCCGCCACGAGCCCCATGCCAAAGCCAGAGCCCCGCCTGCCGCGAGACCTTGCCCTCCCATCGACGGGGTGCGCTGGCTGACCGGCCCGCGTCGCCCCGACAGGTGTTTGTGACGCGCCCGCCGGCAAAGTCACGGACCATGCACCACCTGATGGTGGAGGCCACCGACGGCGGCGGCCTGAAGTCGCTGGTGAACGCCGAGGTGGCGCTCAGCGTCATCGACACGCGCCAGCAGCCGCCCATCTTCGAGCGCGCCCGCTACCTCTACGCGGTGCGCGAGGACGCGCCGCCGGGCTCGCTGGTCGGCGCCGTGCGCGCCACCTCGCGGCAGAAAGGTCAGTTGTGCCGCTCTGCTGCTGGGCGCGGGTTCGGCGTGTTCCAGCCGCAGCGGCCTTGTTTGGCTCACTTTTGATTGTTGTGGCTCGTTGAAATTCGAGCGATGCCATCGCGTACAAAAAGCCGCCGTGTTTTAAGCGTTTAGTGATTATTAGCCGCTAGAACAATAGCTATTGTCGTCATGGTCCGCCCAACATTTCGCTTTCTGTTGTGCCACGCGAATTCCGAGCAGCGCCGGTCCGGCTCCCGGTCTCATTAACAACACTTTGACGACTTTAATGGGTTTGGGATCGAAAAATTAAATCGTTCCGATCTGCAAATGCCCGGTCCGTGTTCATGTCCGTTTTATGGCGATGTTATGGCGGTGTGGCCCCGCGTGCTGGTGCATCACGTCGTCATGCTGAGTCGAGCCGCTTTTGGCGGCAACTGCCAAGTCTGCACCCTGACGATCAGAAACGATATGCGCACTGGCCTCTGGGTTGAGCTGCTCCGAGTATTCATGGGCCTCTGAGGAAAACGGTGACTCCACGACCGGAATGGAGGTCCACGGCACAGCCATGTTGAGCGACTCCATCACCAGCCAACAGTGCACCAAACAATCGCATCCTGTTCCCGGACAATGGGCAAAAAGGGCGTCCCTATTGGACCTACCAGCACACTTTGTCACGCGGTGCGGTGTTTAGCGGCTTGCGGCCGGCGGGGAGCCACGCTCTCTTGATTGCGATGTCCGTAAAGGCCGGGCGTCTCTCCACGCCCAGTACAGTGCTGCGACAGAGTGCCATCGGGCCTTCTATGTACGGAAATGGCCAGCTGACACTGACACTGCAAGCTAGCCGCACTGCCGCATCACTGAATGCTGAACCGCGCTCCGAAGGGCGAGCACAGAACTGCAACCCTGGGATTATTTGGCAACGTATAGACGCTTTGCATATCTGGCAAATCGCCGACAGGTGAGTGGTAGGCGAAGCGTATCTCATCACAGTGCTGACGCCGGTATGGCGGGCGGGCCGCAAGACTGATGGCCGGCGAGCGACCACGCCGCGAGAGGGGAGAAAGGCGGGCAGAGGCGCCGACAAGGCTGCTGCCCACTGCGCGCCCGGCTGCACTGACCTGAGCCCGGTGACGTTGATTGGCCCCGTCTGGCGTGACGTCACGGGAGCTCTCGCGGCCGTCAGCGGCCTGAGCGCTGATGGTGGCCTGCGACCTCAGCCCCCGCCGCCGGCGTTTCAGGCGGTGCGGTGCGGTACAGCATCTACTCGGGCGACCCCGACGGCGCCTTCTCGATCGACGCGCAGACGGGCGCCATCACGACGGCGGCGCGGCTGGACCACGAGCAGCACACGTTTGTCCTGCTGAACGTGCAGGCCATGTCGGGCCAGCCGCCCACCTTCGGCCACAGTCAGGTCAGTCTCCGGCAGTCCGGCAGTCAGGCGCGTCAGTCAGGTCAGTCTCCGGCAGGACGGGGTCTCTGGTCAAGTCAGGTCAGTCTCCGGCAGTGCCGGGTCTCTGGTCAAGTCAAGCCAGTCTCCGGCAGGCTGAGTCCCTGGTCAAGTCAGGTCAGTCTCCGGCAGTGCAGGGTCCCTGTTCAAGTCAGGTTAGTCTCCGACAGGGCAGGGTCTCTGGTAAGTCAGGTCAGTCTCCGGCAGAACGGGCTCTTTGGTCAGGTCAGGCCAGTCTCCGGCAGGGCAGGGTGTCTGGTCAAGTCAGGTCAGTCTCCGGCAGGACGGGGTCCCTGGTCAAGTCAGATCAGTCTCCGGCAGGGCAGGGTCTCTGGTCAAGTCAAGCCAGTCTCCGACAGGCTCAAGTCTCTGGTAAACTCAAGTCAAGTCAGTCTCCGACAGTCCGGCTCGTCAGGCGGTGCGGCAGCAGTTTGTCACGCTGTGGCGTTGTTGGTATGCAGGGATCGCCGGTGTTTCTCGTATTGGCGTCGGTGGGGTCAACGGATTAAATACACGGGCCGTTGTCAGTTTGTTGATGGACATTGCCTGGTTTGACCTCGATGGGCTGCCGACCAACTCGTTCTGGTCATATCTGTTAAAACGTCGACTTAATGTGTGGCCTGTCGTTTTACAAGTCGCCATCTACCGACGAGTGCATTCCTGAGGTTTCCCTTTCATAGCCTTATCGTATTCCTATGTTCTTCCCCACATTCATAACAAAATTCTTGCATGAATAGCAGACGCTCGTCGAGGGCGCCGTTTTGTTTCACACCCCCTGCGAACACCCCCGGACGGCCGGCCACTGTCCGCCGGACGTCCTGCCCCCCCCCCCCCCTCCCTCCCCCTCCCTCCCTTCTCCGTGGCGGCGGACTGCCAACCCTTTCGCGCCGCCTGCCGACGCGCTGTTGTTTCGAAACCGATTGTCTCGCTCATCCGTGGGCCACCGCTGACGAGGTGATTAATTAAGATTACCGCTGCACCTTGCAGGCAATGGCACTGCCGGCGCTTTGTCTCTGCGGTCGGACCGGCTGGGCCAGCCACGGCCGCGGGCCAGCTCGTCAGCTCGAGCGCGATCAGCGAGCGCAGCCCGCGCCAGTTCGAGTCTGACCCCGTCCCTCCCCCGGCAGGTGAACGTGACCATCGGCGACGTGAATGACTTCGCGCCCGAGTTCGACGCGCTCGAGGCGACGCTCTCGCTGCCGGAGAACGCCGAGCTGCGCACGGCCATCTACGCCGCGCACGCGCGCGACTTCGACTCGGGCGAGAACGGGCGCGTGCGCTACCGGCTGCTGCGCAACCCGGACGGCGTGTTCGCGGTGAGCGCGCGCGACGGCACGCTCTCGCTGGCCAAGCCCGTCGACTACGAGAAGCGGCGCACGTACGAGCTGGTGATCGCCGCCACGGACATGGGCTCGCCGCCGCTCTCGGCCAACCTCACGCTGCGCATCGACGTGCAGGACTTCAACGACAACACGCCGGAGTTCGAGCGCGATGAGTATGAGGTGGCCGTGCGCGAGGACCTCGAGGTGAACGCACAGGTGCTGCAGGTGACGGCCACGGACGCCGACACAGGCAACAACGCCCGCCTCACGTACCGGCTGGTCGAATCCCCCGGCAAGCTGTTCGGCATCTTCCCCAACAGCGGCTGGGTGTACCTGCGCGGCCAGCTGGACCGCGAGGCGGCCGACGAGTACCGGCTCACCGTGCAGGTCACCGACAACGGTACGCCAGCGCGTAGCGCCCGCTCGCGCGCCCTCGTACGCGTGCTCGACGTCAACGACCACGCGCCCGAGTTCAGCAGCGAGGCGTACGAGTTCGCCGTGTCGGAGAACCTGCGCGCGGGCACGCCGGTCGGCTCGCTGGCGGCCACCGACCGCGACCTGGGCGCCAACGCCTCGCTCCGCTACAGCCTGAACCCCACCAACGGCAGCTTCCAGGTGGACCCGCGCACCGGTGAGTACGCGCGCGTCTGGCGGCGCAGCAGGAGGCGAGGCGGCGTGTGGCCAAGCGATGTGATTCAGCACCGTCACGCTCGTTGTTGTGTGAGATGACAAGAACCAGCGGCTGCTCTCGTCCTAGTATGGAGCCGCCGGCACTTATTCCCCATCATGCACACTCGTTGAATTACCACCTGCATTACACCAAATTACCTTTGATCAGTGTCGTGCGCACTACATTAAAAGCTTCCCGCTCTTTGCGATCGCCGGCCGTCCAGCGGCGACAGCTCACAAACCGGCCGCGCGTTGCCGTGAACCGCCAGCTACAGCCGACAGGCGTCCGCTGACGAGCCTAAGCCAGCGCTGTCAGCGCCGTGGCGTGCGGGTCGTGCGGCGCGGCGACGGCGGGGTGTGAGGCTAGCGACACGGCGGGCCGTCAGCAGCTGGGCGTGAGCCGGCCGCCGGACTGGTCCGCGGAGCCCGGCTGCCGCGGCGCCGACCGGTCCCGCGCCAAACGGCCTTACACAGAGCTGTGACTCAGCCGCGTGGACGTCCGGCGCCGCCTCTGCCGTCCCCTTTCAAGCCCCGATCGGGGTCGGGCCATTCGTCACGGGGCTTCATAAGGGACCGCGCGTCCCTGCACCAGGCCCTGGCGGGACCATGCCAAGCTGGTCCGAGTCAAAACTGACCCTTGCGGGCCGCACCAGATCCTGGCTGCGGGCTCGTGCCGGCGTGCCGCGGGCCCCAGTGCGGGCACTGCCGGTCTCACCAAGCTCCGCGCGCGGCGAACGGGGGCTTAGCTGGGGTGCTGCCGCGCAGCTCCAGGCTCAGCTCCAGGCCCAGCCAGGACTGCGCCGTGCCGCTGCTCGGCGCTGGGCGGCGTCACCAGAGCGGCGAGACGCACTCGAACGCGCCCGGCCGGCCGTCACCTTTTTGCCGGCGCGAGTGATGCTGCTATCGTGTCAACGGCCCTCCGTCGCTTTATCTGATGTGAATTCATTACGGTCCAGCGCCTTTGGCCGCCACAAAAATGCCGTCCAAAAACTGGTCGTGCAGAAAGCCGGGGTCCGCCGCTCGCGTAGCGCCGGCGCCGACGCTGGCTAGCCCCCTTTCCCGCCGGAAGTGGAGCACCCAGCCAAGTCCTCGCCGGGCACGTGCAGAGGCACCCGTTACCCCCTGGCCACGTGCAAGAGCGGCTCCTGTCGGGACCGGCTGTGACGACGGCCATCGCCGGCCAACAAAAACAGGCCGGGCCCGGGCTGGGCTCGCTCGGCCCGGCCGGGGTCCACACGCCGTGGCCCTGCGTCAGTGGCCAGTCTAGAGGTGCTGAGGATGCGGATCCACGCGGTGGACGATACGGCGGCTGTTGCTACTCGTGCACACGTTGCTGCAGACGCACGTGGTGACCCGAGTGCGGTCCGAAGCGAGCTTGCGCCCCGGCACGGTTGAAGGTGCCTCAGCGGGGTCCCAACATGGCATTGTTCTCGATAGTGTTGAGGGCGAGATCTCCCGCGTCGCGGGAAGCTGGTGTCTTCGCTAATGCTTCCGATGCTGTTTTCAGGGGTGATCAGTACGGCGGTGGAACTGGACAGAGAACTGATCAAGTTCTACGAGTTCACAGCTGACGTTTCTGACCAGGGCTCGCCGCCAAGACGCTCCTCCACCGTCGTGAAGGTAATGCCGAGGGCACTGAGGCCCTTTAAGTGTTTTTTTCTTGGTTTTAGGTGACGTGTATAGGTGTTGTAACTGGGTGAGGACTTCGTTTTGTAAAAACTGTTTTAACGGTAGTAATCGTTGCTCCGCTGGACCTTATCCCAAGCAAACATATCGCGTGATGGTTTTGACCTCATTGAGCTAACCGTCTTATCGTCTTTGTGGTTTGGGCTTTTCGTTGTCTTATTCCAGGCGACCAGCTCTTCTTGGATTAAGTATCAACCATTTTTACCAAAACGGCCATGCACTAGAAGTCGAACACTACCGGACAAAGAAATGGTGCAGGCTCAGTCACGAATGTCGTCAGCGCCGAGCGGGCAGCAACAGTCCCAGCGCGTTATGCCACAACTTGTTAGCCGGCTCCGGATGTGGCCAAGGCTTGCGTTACGCAAACCGGTTTCGAATGCAAGCCGCTTATCAACGCTGTCAATCCGGAGCAGAGCGCTATTGAACAGTGAACATTTTAATTAGCGTCGGCCTCCGCGCCGGCCGGCTCGTTCGGTGCAGGGATGCCGCGGCGCCGGCTGAATGGAGGCGCCGGCAGCGGCAGACAGCGGCCGGCCTGCTGGCAGTTTGTTCACCCGAGCAGCGGCCGCCTTCCGCGTGCCGGGGCCGGCCAAGGGCGTGCTGCCGCTTTGTGCTGTCGCCGCGGCTTGGTGTCCACGGGAACGGCGGCCTCGTTCCATTGAGCTGCCGCGCCGTCGGCGGGGGTCGTGTTTCCCGTCTGTCTCCGAGAGGCGCCTGGCCCAAATGTGCGAGCACGTCCTCGCTGGCTTAGGTCTGGTGCGCTCTCCCAGCGCGTGGCCAGCCACCCGCAAATCAGACCGCTCCGATGCATTCCTGTCCTGCCGACTACGTTCCCCGAGTGTAGGTAGATGTTTCTATCCTGTGCGCACCTCAGGCCCGTTCCGACCACATGACATGACATGGCATGACGTCATCACGTGACATGCGGCGGGGTTACTGGGAGAAGCAATCCTTTCGCTTTGGAGTCCGGGGCTGGGGAATATCATATTCCAGAGGTGGAGTGGAAAACGATGCAGCATGACATTTATAAAACCACTGACAGCTATGAAACAACATTTCGGACGTTTCAAGTGAAAGATAGACCACAGTTGTCACGCCAAACAACGCATCTATTCTCCAATTAACATCAAGTGCAGACCACAGGAGGATGGGAGTAGAACTAGCACAAGCGAATGGGGAGTACTTCTATGGCCATACCAGCCGGAGAGCCACCGCACCGGCCACGCTGGCGGCAGAGTCTGACGCGGCACCGGCCCGGCAGATTCGCGTGCTGGACGACAACGACTCGGAGCCGCAGTTCCTGGAGCCGCTGGACGGCGTCATCAGCGTGCGCGAGGAGCAGCAGGCCGGCTTCGAGGTGGTCCAGGTGCACGCCACCGACGCCGACGACGGAGAGAACGCCACCATCACCTACAGCTTCAGCAGAGGTGGGTGCCGCGCCGGGCAGCGGCCGCGCCGTCACGCGCTGGGGTTCAGCCCCAGCTCGGCCGGGCGCTGAGGGGCTCCAGTTTCAGCCCCGGGCCAGCTCCAGGAGGTCTGAGCTGCTGCCTGCGTCGATGGGTGAAGGCGGGGCTGAACATCTCCGTCGCAGGTGGACGGGAGACGCCTGGGCCGTGGAAGCCGTTAGCACGTGCGCCGCCGACCGTGCGTGCGACAGTGGGCCATTTTTACCGGTCGCCCGACGGTTTTCCTTGATGCGATCATGACAGTGCTCCAAGTGGGCCAGGCGGGTTCGAGTTCTCGGAATCCAGCCTCGCAGAACTCGTTCTGACTGCATGCATTCTGGAGCGGAGGCCGCTGCCGGGATGGCAGCTTTTCCTTTGCTTTACGCTCAAACAATGGACTGTGTCATCACCGTGGAGTTGTTCGAGCGAGCGAAACGACAAAAAATTCACGGGAGTCCTTCGCGACGCAGCTCACAGCGCCCAATCCCTCGAAGTATTCCGATGGCGGCTCGGCTGTTCACCGGCCGGCGCTCCTCCGGTGTCCTGGAGCGTGTAAACGGCGCGTCTCGAATAGTCGCTTTGTCTCGCGCGTGGCCACGAGGCGAGCGTCCAAGGCCGCGCCGGCAGCCGGCGGCCGGCGGCGTCTCCGGCGGCCGGCGCCCCGCCGCCGCCTGTGGTGACGGCCGCCGTCGATGGCTATCGGCGCTGCAGCGCGCATTCAGCGCCGACAGCAGATTAGTGTCGGGTGGGCGGCCGGCCGCGTGTCGGCGGCCGCTCCGACTTTTCACGGGCCGGACGCGCTGACAGCCGGCCAAGGCCGCCGTCGCTCGGCCGCCCGGCCCGCTGCAGCCAGCTCGGCACCGACCGCCGCTCTGCCCCAAGGCGGCGGCGGCGGTGGCGGCGGTGGCAACGGCTTGCTACGCACCGCGACGCGGCGCCGACCGCAGGGCGCTCGGCAGGCGCCAGCTGGCGGCGCGACCGACCGGCCCGGATATTTGTCCGGCGCACACCGAGCCGCTCCGCGGCCGGCTTCATCATGGGCCGGAGCGTCCGCTTGTTTGACTTCCTGTCGCCGCGTGCAAGGCCGCCGGTCGGGCTCGCGCTGCAGCGCCGAGCGCCACTGATTCAGCGCCCCCCGCTCGGCGATTTGCATGCCACGTGCGCGATCAAAGATACCCGAAAGTCGAGCCGGCTGATTGCGGTGCCGTCTGAGCGGTGCTGATCCGGAGCTGGCGGAGCGGCGAGGGCGCGCCGCCGCGCCACCGCCGCCGCCTCTAGCAGGAAAACCCAGCGCGCAGCCCGCACAGGTCGGCAGGGGACGCCTTTTCCGGCGACCGACCGCTCACCCTTTGCGTGTCGGGGGGCAGGCCGACGTGTCGGAGGCGTCGCCGCCAGGCGGAGGCGCTGGCGGCCATCCGGGTCCTGCAAGCCCCTACCGGGGCGACTGGGGGGTGGGAGGCCCGCACCGGTCACGTCTGAGCGTGGCAATATCGTGATCACACGTGCCTGGGGGGGGGGGGGGGCGTGTAGCGGTCATGGTTCACCTGGAAACATGCAGAGCTCAGAGAGTAGACATGGAGCAGACATGGAGCGGACATGTGGCTGGTTCCCGAGGTGAATCCAGGATCCCTTAGGGATCCGTGTTTATAGAATCCTAGGATCGCACCATGGGAATTATCTGTCTCCAGTCACATACATGACTGAGTCACATGTGAGATGGAGACTTGCGGGGTCACAGCGAATGGAGCGCATGCGAAAGTCGTACTTAACCTAGATAGTGCGCAAGGTCACATTCGACCTCAGCGCGTGCACAACTCTCACCCTGCCCTGGAGACCTGCAGTAGTCTTGCGTCCCGAGTTTTTTTTTTTCTGGGTTTCCATTGGTCGCGTGGGTGTGCAAAGTTAAAATGCATCCTGTAGGCCTGCGGAGATCACTGGCGTCCTCGAGTGGCATGTGGTGGTCACGCGTACCTTGGGGACCCGCTGGGATCACGTGATACCTACAGACGTACAACGGCCAACGGCGACCTGGACGGACGGACGTGCACGATCCGCACGTGACACATACGCGTGATACATACACCGTGCAAACATACGCCGGCTGATGCGATTGCCGCGTTACAGGAGCCGAGGATGACGCCGCCGGCGCCTTCACGATCGACCCCAAGAGCGGCACAATATCAACGACGCGGGTCCTCGACCATGAGGTACGTCCAGCCGCGACAGCAGCGAAACCCCGCGTGTTTGTCTTCGTGCGGTGTCGAATGCCGTGGCTGCTGTGTGTGTGTGTTGTGAGTGGCCCGCTATGGTGCTTGAGCGTCGTGTTGAGTGCTGATGGCGTGTGCATGAGAGGGTGGCGTACGCGCCACCTGCAGACGGACAGTCGCATTGAGTCTCATGCTTACTCCAGCTGTCGAGCTGCTCTACATCCGCCGCATGCTGTTTCTATGGCATAACTGCTAGGCCCGGAAATCCGCGGTTGACGCATGGCTTCACCCGCGCAGTGATGAGCCCGGCCACAAAAAATCCGCTTGTCAGTGACCGCCAAAGCTTATTGCAGTCTGGTATTTGTTCACTAATCGTTGTTATCACACACCTGTCATGTTTCTGGCTTTGCAATATCTTTGTCACGGACCATGTAACCAGTGTTTGGGGATTAGCTCGAGTGGTGGCCGGAGAGATGTATTTGTTTAGTTATTTAAGGATCCGATGAGCTCCAAATTCGTCGCGGCCACGTGACGTCACCTGCGGATCCTCTTCTCAGGAGAAGGCAGTGTACCGGCTGCTGGTGGTGGCTCAGGACGGCGGCGTGAAGCCGAACCAGGCCACTCACCCGCTGACCATCAAGGTGCTCGACCTCAACGACAACTCGCCCACCTTCACCACGTCCAGCCTAGCCTTCTCCATGAAGGAGAACGCACCGATCGGGTTTCAGGTGAGCGCGCCGTCAGCTGGTCCCACCAGCGCTGGCCGGCGCGGTGCCGCTGGCCGCTGGTGCGCGATCCTCTGGCATCCAGCGGCGCCATCCGATCCGGCGATTGGCCGGCGAGCGCGGCGCGAAAAATCCGCCGGCTGACCGACCGCAGACGTCAGCGCCGTGTCGCCGGCGCCGAGTGCCTGCCGCGCCGTCATGTCGCCGGCATTCTGATCCCGGCTAAGCCCACGGAAGCCTGGCATCTGGCATGTCATCGCCGTCCGGGGACGGGGCGGCGACACGGCGCGCTCGGCCGCGCCCCCCACGCTGACTGACGCTGCACGTCGCCTGCAGGTGGGCACCGTGGTGGCGATCGACCGCGACGCCGGCGAGAACGGCCGCGTCTCCTACACCATCCTCAGCGGCAACCTCAACGACACGTTCGACATCAACCGGTCGACGGGCGCGCTGTTCACCACCAGAGAGGTGAGAGGCCGGTTTCGGGGTTTTGTGGTTCCGGGGGGAAGGGGGGGGGGGGTTCAGGATTGGCGGGTTATGCGCCGCTCAAGTAAAGACGGATGGGGCAGTCGTGACCCTCATCCTACCAGCGGGACTGGACTATTGCATGCACATGTCACAGGGCTGGAGCGAATGACCAGTCATTTGTCCACGTGCAGATGGCATCGCAGCTGCCATTAAAAGACGGGGTGTAGTTTACATGTGGCTCGGACGAGGTGCAACACCATCGGTTTTTAAATGAGCCTCATTCGTCAATTGTCATCATGCATCGAACTTCTCACACACCGGCTGCACCCCCGAAATAAATGGCCGTCTGGAAAGGCCACAGAGTTTGCGGTTGCCATTGCCGTGCCCGGCCGGCAGGCCGCCGGCTGACAGCAGCATCGGTCAGGGTTTTTTTTCGCGCCGGCCGCCACTGTTCGGCGGTGTGGAGAGCGTCGCCGGCAGCTGCGCTCCAGCTGCTCGGACCGCGGCCTGGGAGGCCATGCGTCGGTCTGTTCCCACGGCTGCTGACCGGCCTTTGCTGCCCGCCAGGTGGACTTCGAGATGGCCACCGAGTACCTGCTGCAGATCGAGGCAGTCGACGCCAGCGCCACCAACCCGCAGAACAGCAAGATCACCGTTAAAATCGCCGTGGAGGACCTAAACGATAACGCGCCCACGTTCAGCGAGGACCCGATCCTGTTCTCGGTGGGCGAGGACACGGCGCCGGGCACGGCTGTCTGGAACTTCTCGGCCACCGACAAGGACAGCGGCCCGGCCGGCACGGTCAGGTAAGAGACGCTCGTCCCACCCGGTGCTCGATGCGGCGACGGTGGCCGGCGCCCGCGCTGGGTGCGATCGGATGCCGTCACTCCGCGGCGACGGCTTCCGACGCCATCGGTCTCGGGGGCCCGCGACTGCAGATGCCGCGCGAAGGCTGTCGCCAGTCTGGGGCCCGCTTACAGGTGTGCAAAGACGTTCTCCGGGAATCCACACACGCGAAAACGCCCAGCACGCGCCGCACACGCCCAGAACACGTGAGCACGCCGGCTCGTGGATGCACAACAGCAGGTTCTTCGGCGCGTGCGGAGAAGGCCTGACGGGCCCCGGAACCTGCACCACAATCTCATCGACTTTGCATTGAATCGGCTGCCTCCACGCCGCGGAGACGCCCCAAGACGAGAGAACAAAGGCCGGCTGCCTTGTTGACAGGACGCAGCGGCGCCGGCTGGCTCCCGGCGCCTGGGCCGCTGGTGTATGACACGCGGACGCGGCTGGCCACGGCGGCCGCGCCTGTTGGTCGTCTTGCGAGGCCAATCGAATTCGAAGTCGAGGACCGTCGCCCCCTAATCAACCCCCCACGGAATGCGAGCGTCGTGAAGGCCAAGCTATTTAGACATTGCAGCCTGACGGACGGTTTTTGCATAATTCGTTGGAAGGCCTATTACAAGTCAATTTGCTTTAAGATCATATCAACGCCCTGCTATTTTCATGGACGTCGCTGTTGTACTTTGTTGCCATGTCGCGACAACATGTTCGTCAAACAATTTCATATATGTCTGCTTTAGATGCGCATGCGCGATCCCAGAATTCATCTGGTCTTTTTGGTTTCACACGTTCTGAGCAGTGAAGAGCTTTCAGCACACCAAATACTTTACCCAGGAGTCGTGCTACATGTGTCTGCCATGCAACGGTTCTGACGCCAGCTGATTTGCGTGGGCCGATGACCATACAAATGCCGGCTTTGGCAACCCACCGGGGCGGTTACATAGCCGTCTTACCACGTACTTGGCCGTGCTTACAGCGATGTTCGTGCAGCACAGATAACTCCCGGCCAGATTTTTGCGCACAGGCTTCAAAAAGCCAGGCCGCTTCCGTTTTGCATGCATGTAAAGATCGCTGAGATTCAGCTTCGCCGGCAGACGTGCCAAGATCGCATTGCGCAATAATAGCGGTCACAGTGGCGTCAGTGTTGAGCGCCAGTGGGCCCACTCTAGTGAGTTACTCACGGCCAGCACGGACAGTCAGCCGGGCATGATGCTGGGCTGCGCCTCTCTGTCCGGACCGACGGCAGCATCAGCCGCGCGCCGCCCGGTGCTGTTCACGGAGTGACGCTGAAGGCTCTGCGTGAATAACGCTTTGTGCAATCCGTTGCTGCATTCTTGCGCATCTGAAGCGGCGCAGCGAGCAGAGAGAACCGGTGGATGTTTAGTTAGCTTCTCAGTCAACGAAAATTGTCTCTTTTGACGTCCACAATGCGGTGTACGCGTCATTCTTTCTCCCTCCAGGCACCACGGATATCAATGTCTCGTCTTGCCCTTCTCTTTAGTTACCCCGATGTCGACGTTTGGCTGCTGACCTTAGTGTTTGCCTCCGACACTGGTATGTTATTCCTGATCTTAATACTTCACCTCTTAACTCAGCAGCAGACTTGTGGCTATAGCTCCTGACCTCCGTTTCTGACCACTGATCTCAGCATCCTGAGCCTAACTCAAATTCTGACCCTGACCTCAGCTTCTGATCTTGACCTAAGCTTCTGACCCCTGGCGCTATCGCGTGAACCTGACCCTAGCATCTGACCCCAGACGTTACCGTCTGACCCGTGACCACGGAGTCTGACCATTGACCTCAGCCCGACCTCAGGCCTCAGACCCCGACCACGGCGTCTGATCTTTGACCTTAATGCCCAACGACGGAACTAAAATCCCGAGCTCAAAGCCTGATCCTTGACCTTAGTTCCTGACTCATAATCCTGACTCATAGTCGCCTCCTGACCTCAGCGCCGGACCTTCCCTCCAGTCTTGCGTCAGCCTACGACGCCTCCTCCTTTTTCCTCTCGGCTCCGGTTCCCAAATCTAAATGCCGCGCGCCTTCTCTGCCGTCCACAGGTACAGCATCACTCAGCAGTCTCCGGAGCCGGTGTTCGCCATCGACCAGTACACGGGCTCGCTGACGCTGCGGGACGCCATCGACTACGAGCAGCACGCCGAGTACACCATCATCGTCACGGCCACGGACCAGAGCGAGGACGAGCCGTCGCGCCTCAGCACCTCGGTCACCTCGCAGATCATCGTCGAGGACGTCAACGACCACGCGCCGGCGTTCGTGCGCGCCGGCGGCACGCGCATCACGGTGCGCGAGGACGAGCGCGTCGGCTATCCGGTGCTGCACGTGATCGCCGTCGACAAGGACTCGCGCGACAACGGCCGCGTCACGTACCGCGTCACCGGCGGCGACCCGGACTCGGTGTTCAGTCTGCACCTGGAGACTGGTGAGTGCAGGCTGGCCGGAGGCAGCGCCCGGCGGGGTGAGGTGCCTCCGCAAACTGCTTGGTGTGTGCGTGAGTTCTGGGACCGCAAATCCGTGTTTATCGCCCGGACGCGAAGAGCACTTTTGGTGAAGTCGAGTCGTCGAGTCAGTTTGCATGTTCTGTCGCGTAGCCTAAAATGACCCAAGGTGAGTAGTCAGCACTGCAAGCGACGTCGCGCCCAACCCTTCCGCCTCACTTTCCTCGTCGACGCAGCTCTCACCTCCACCCGAGTGTCGCCCGGTCAGCCCACGCCGCCTCGCCGCGTGCCACTGACCCGCCGCCGTCCTCGCCGCGCGCCACTGACCCGCCGCCGTCCTCGCCGTGCGCCACTGACCCGCCACCCCCGCCGCCGGCAGGCCTGCTCTCGATCGGCCGACCGCTGGACCGCGAGTCGCGCAAGCAGTACGCGCTCAACATCACGGCCTCGGACCACGGCCAGCCGCCGCTGACTGCCTCCGTCATGGTGTCGATCGCCGTCGAGGACGTCAACGACAACCAGCCCGTCTTCAGCCGGACCATGTACCGCGCCAACGTCAGCGAACGCTCGCCGATCGGCGCCTTCGTCACCCGCGTCTCAGCGGCCGACCAGGACGAGGGTGAGCGGCTGGCGACACGCGCAGTCGGCCGGTGTCGCTGACGAGTGATGGGGTGCGCTGGTGGGACACGCTGGTGGAACGTCGTTGTGTTTTGTGACGCCCCGCATGACCGCCGCTTTGAGGGTGGCGCGGGGAGTCGCTGGCCCCGGAGATAAGGGGAACGATGTGGCGTATTGCTGACCTATGGCGGGACACAGCCCGAGTCTCGGGCTGCACGAGGCGTTGTTAGTCGGGCCATGAGTCAGTGCTGTGTGGCGGAGCCGGTGCGGCTGCCAGCAGCGGCACGCGGCGCGGGCGCGGTGCACTGTTGACCGGCTTCAGACTGACGTCGTTCCCTCGGACCGCGGACCCCACCACCGCCGCTGCCGCTGGGGAAGGCCGCAGCTGCACCTGCCTAGACAGGCGGGCGCCGGGTCCGCCGGCCGTGTCTCGCGTGCTCTGCTCCGAGCGACAGATACGCCTCTTCGTTCCGAGCAGCCCGCTCGGACAATGGCTGTCGGTGGGGGCGTTGGGTCGAGCGCCTCCCACCTGCGGACTCGCCCCTCCCGCTGCGGAGTCCGCGCGGACTCACAGGGGCGTTCCACCACGCCGTCGGAATCTGACTGATTTCGCCTCCGTCGCAGGCACCAACGGCAACCCGACCTACTACATCCCCAAGGGTATCGCTGACAACCTGTTCAAGATTGACCCGCGCTCGGGGGAGATCACCACGGCCGGCCGGCTGGACCGCGAGACGGTCTCGCACTACAACGTGACCGTGTACACCAGCGACGGCTCGTCGCCGCCTCAGGTGGACGCCACCACCGTCCTGGTGGAGGTGCTCGACGAGAACGACCACTCGCCCGAGTTCAAGTGGGTTTCGTCGCTGGGCGACGCTTTTTTGCACATGCGTGGTGAACGTGCGGTAGAGATATATTCACGTTGTGTTCCTTTCTGCGACAATGATTGCTGTCTAAACATAGCAAGCCATTGACACGTAACCTTGCTTGGATGTGAGAAGATCGAAGCCAGTCATAAAACACATGAAACTTGAGTAAGTTTCTTTGAAGCTAATCCGTCCTCAAAAACATGCTGAATGAATAGACTTAAAACATCGATGAAAAATCAGCGAAAACAAGCAGCTGATCATTCTGTACTTCTTTCTGCGTCGTGCTCACCATCGACGGTGTTTTGCACTACAGCGGCTCCTGCTATCCGCTTCGAATCCCCGAGAACAGCGACCTGGCCGTGGTGCACGCCGTGGTGGCCTCCGATGCCGACACCGGCATCAACGGCGAGATCACCTACAGCATCACAGGTCAGCGCCTGGCGACCCTCCACCCGCCGCGTCACATAGCGCAGCACCCCCGCGGCATGACTGACGTGGGGTAACTTAACATTGCCGGCCTGAAAATACGGCCAAAGTGTACCGAATACCAGACGACAGTGAAAGTAGCGCGTGTTCTGATCCGGTGAACAAACCCGCGCGTCAGCGCTGCCGACCGACGGTCGCGCATCGCGGATGCCTGGACGTGACCCTTGCCTGCCGTCCACACGGCACCGACTTGTTGTGGTAACCGGCGCTCCTCGCCCACAGACGGCAACGTCGGTAACAAGTTCTCCATCGACGTGCACACGGGCGCGCTGTCGGTGCGGCCTCTGGACCGCGAGGCGCGCGACGCCTACCAGCTGGAGGTGACGGCACAAGATCGCGGCTCGCCCGCGCGCCGCGCCACCTGCGCCCTTCACGTGCGCGTCCAGGACCAGAACGACAACGATCCCAAGTTCCAGCAGCGTCAGTACGAGGTGCGTGTCGCCCCTAAACCCCTATTCCCATTTGGGGGTGATGCGGTGCGTCAATGTAGCGACGCAATTTGCAAGGCCGCGGGTTGAAATGGACGTTCCACGCCTGCATCACTTAATATATCTCGATATGTTTACACATTTTTTGGCACATGTGCCAACAATTTTGAACGTAATGATACAATTCCACCTGCATTCATTAATACTTCATCATGTGTAAACGAATCCTAATTTTCCCAGGAAGTCACCGCGTCTTAAAACCTCCCAGAGCACTTACCATGTCATGTAAAGGCATCTATTTCGGTAGACTTTACACGTCTTCCCGCACTTTGGCGTACGCCCCGCGTGATTGCTGCGTGCCGTACCGTTGGCACGCCCTCACCTTTTCGCCGCACACCGCTCGTCTCGGGTTGGGGTGGCTCTCCGCGGCGCCGTCTTACCAGCCACCTTCCGCTCCGTTCCTGCAGGCGCACGTGGCGGAGGACGCGCCCCTGGGCACGGACGTGCTGACCGTGCGCGCCGTGGACGACGACCACGGCGTCAACGGCCGCATCACCTACAGCCTCAACAACGAGACCCAGTGGCGCTTCCGCATCGACAACGACAGCGGCAAGATCACCACCGCCGGGTACGCGTGAACGATTTCTCGGTTTCCGCTCCCATGGCTTGGCTTACTTTTCCCAGTTAGCATGCGCGGCACATCCCACGCCGTCAGATAACATTACTTCTTATACATTTAAAGCTGTGTCGATCCCAGTCCACCACGCGCCCTCTGAGTGCCCACTGAGCCGACCGCCACGCCTCCAACGACCGCTTCCACTGACCCTCTCACTACTTCTCAGAACCTTCAACCGGGAGAGCAAGGCGACGTACACGTTCGAGGTGCAGGCGACGGACGGCGGCCGGTACGACGCCCGCTCCACGCGCGCCGTCGTCACCGTCACCATCGACGACGCCAACGATCACGCGCCCGTGCTGACGCGCTATCCGTTCACGGCGCACGTGCCGGCGCACACACCCGCCGGCGCCGCCCTGCTCACCGTCACGGCCGAGGACGAGGACCTGGGCGCGAATGGACAGGTCACCTACAGGTCAGCGCACTAGGATCGCGGGGACGGGCGGCGCTGCCGGGAAGAGATGGGAGAGGGTGACAAGCGGGCTGAGCTCGGTGTGTTGGCTTAAGTTGGAGGTGGAGGTGGGTCTGCTAGGTGGTGTGAAGCTGATTTTGTAGCGTTCGGGCTGATGCAGAAACGTCGGAGTTTGAGCTCCTTGCCAGCCAAATTACTGAGTTCTGATCAGAATTCTAACGGGCAGTTGTCGCTGCTCACTGCATTTATTGCATCAGCTTGTTCAATTCGCTGCCACAGGCATTGATTTACATTGTGCCGATGCACGTAGCGATGCGCTCCGTAACGCCTGCACGTACACCGGCGTCAACCACCGCAAACGCTTGTCACACTCGGAGCCGACACAACGCGACGTGACTGCCGCCGATCAGTCCGGCCGCTCCCGCACCGTCTTGGTGCGACGCCAACGATCGCCCGTGGACTAGTCCTCTGTAACCTTGCCGTGCGCTCCTCGCAGCTTCGCCAACCAGCCGGCCGACAGCCCGTTCCGGATCGACCCCATCACGGGCGTGGTGAAGGCAGCCGGCTCGCTGGGCGCCGAGTCGGGACGGCTCTTCCACCTGGAGGTACGCGCGCGGCTGACACGGCCCGTTAGTTGCATGTTCCTCACAGATGGCGCTACGGAACAAGGGCGGGAAAGTGGACCTTATTGCAAATGCTGATGTAACTTATAATAAGCTACGTGTGAAATTCAAGCTCTTTTTCCGATAAAGGTGAAACGCACGTGCCGTCTCATTCGCCTGCTCCCTTCTGATCTCCAAATGCTTCCGTGTAATATGGCGGCGCCCAGCGTGTAGCGCGGATGAGCGCGTTGTGTGACGAGTCGGCTCGGTCCCAGGTGGCGGCCACGGACCGCGGCACACCGGCGCCCAGCGTGTACCGCGGATGAGCGCGTTGTGTGACGAGTCGGCTCGGTCCCAGGTGGTGGCCACAGACCGCGGCACACCGGCGCCCAGCGTGTAGCGCGGATGAGCGCGTTGTGTGACGAGTCGGCTCGGTCCCAGGTGGTGGCCACAGACCGCGGCACACCGGCGCCCAGCGTGTAGCGCGGATGAGCGCGTTGTGTGACGAGTCGGCTCGGTCCCAGGTGGTGGCCACAGACCGCGGCACACCGGCGCCCAGCGTGTACCGCGGATGAGCGCGTTGTGTGACGAGTCGGCTCGGTCCCAGGTGGTGGCCACAGACCGCGGCACACCGGCGCAGTCGGCCGCCGGCCTCGTGGAGATCTACGTGGGCGAGAAGCGGGACCAGACCACCCTGCGCTTCCAGAACAACACGTACCGCGTCGGCGTCCCCGAGAACGAGCCGACCGGCAGTGACGTCATCCAGGTGAGCTCCACAGACGGGTCAGATGACGTCATCAAAGTGCGCTTTGCATATGGATCAGATGACGTCATCAAAGTGCGCTCCGCCTACGGGTCAAGCGTCAACTAGGTGAGTTACCGAGACTAGTCAAGTGGCGTCTCCCAGGCTAACTCCAGGACCGAGTCAAATGGCGTCAGCTGGCACAGCATCAGTGAAGAGCTCCATATCGTGTTTCAAGACGTGATAGCAGTCTCGCGTTATCATGTAAGTCTTTGGCAGTGGTAACACGGAAATGCTTTTTTGCCCCTCCCCACCCCCGAGACCAAATGTAACCGGCCTTCGTTCGACGCAGGTAACGGCGGTGCGCAGTGACGGCCGCCGCCAGCGCATCACCTACAGCTTCGGCTCCGGCAACGAGGACAACACGTTCGAGATCAACGCCAACAACGGGCTGATCCGCGTGCGCGACCCGCAGCGGCTGGACTTCGAGGCGGCGCGGCAGCTGCGGCTGGTGGTCGTGGCGCAGGCCGAGGGCACCACTCCACTCTACGGGTGAGCCGCGCGCGTTGGCCGGGCTCCCACGCGGGTGGTGCAGCTCCGCTCGCTGGTCTCGCCGAATGATATCTCGGTAACGCGGATAGAAGCCTTCTCGGCCGTGTCTCCGAGACGGCTCCGCCAAGGCTGTGTCAATAGGAGAGCTGGCTGAGCGCAGGGTTTCTGCAGGGCTGAGCTTTGCTGTTGTTCTGGCATCGTTCAGCCGCTTTCAGCGACTGTCTGTATTTGGTGCAGTGTTGCAACCGAGCTAGCGAATGCCTGCCTGATGGCAACAATTGACCGAAATGCCGATTTCTGATGGTAGCCCGCTGCATGCCAACGCCAATTTACCACGACGGCGGCCGCTGGGTCGCCGTGCCGCGCATTACCAACAGTCAGCCCGCGTTCCCTTTGTTGACAATCGTTCTCATGGTCGGCAGGTACGCGGTCGTGTTCGTGGAGCTGGTGGACCAGAACGACAACAAGCCGCGCTTCACGCAGGACGAGTACATCAGCGCCGTCTGGGAGGGCAACAGCAAGGGCACCTTCGTCGTCCAGGTGAGCTGGCTCGCGCGGCCAGACGCGTCCTGTCGCCACTGGCGGCCGTCGCTGGCTGCTCTGCTGCCACAGAGACGCCAGGCGTCCGGGCTTCAAAGTTGGAAATTGCGCGGCGTTGGCAGAGTTCTCGGAGACTTATGCCGTGCTCTGACGTCATCGCGACGCGGTTCCAGGTGTCTGCCACGGACGCCGACACGGGCGCCAACGCCAACGTCGTCTACAGCATTGTGGAGGGCAACCTTGACAACGCGTTCGTCATCGAGGCGCCCTTCTCGGGCATCGTCAAGACCAACATCGTGCTGGACCGAGAGATCCGCGACGCCTACGAGTTGACGATCGTCGCCACAGACCAGGGCGAGCGGACGCTGGTCGGCTCGTGCTCGCTGCGCATCAAGGTGGTCGACATCAACGACAACCGGCCGACGTTCCCACCCCACTCGGTCACGAACGTGAGCGAGGGCGCGCAGGTGGGCGCTGTGGTGACGGCCGTCACAGCCAACGACGTGGACACGCACCCGGCGCTGACGTACAGCTTCGCCGGCGGGGCGGCGCGTCAGGACGCCTTCGCCATCGACCGCTTCACCGGCCAGATCACGCTTGTGAAGCCGCTTGACCGCGAGGTGAGCAGGCCGTTAGGGAGAGAGGCGGGTGTCTGCTGCGGTGAGGGGCCGGATCAGGGGTCGTAGCGGGCGCAACGATCAGTCGAGCCGAGCCAAGGAGCTCCGTAGGCGTTATTCGCACTCCTGTCGCCTTACTGCGGCTGTCTGGCCGGGCCGAGTCTGTGAACTATGTGACCATGATGATGACAGATGCTGTGATGACGCTGTGATGACAATGACGAGTGAGCTGCGTGGCGCGTGAGCACTCCTGACCGCGTTCGCCCGGGTCCGCAGACAAAGCAGCATTACGTGCTGACGGTGGTCGCCTCGGACACGGCGCATCAGGCCGAGACGAGCGTGCGCATCAACGTCATGGACGAGAACGACCAGCGGCCCGTGTTCACCCAGAGCTCATACAGCGGTAGTCTGCTGGAGCTCACCGGCGCCGGCATGGAGGTGCGTGGAGCTTCACCGCGGCGGCGGAGACCGCTCCTTATCTCTGTGGTGTCGTGTGCGAGGCGTTGTGACGTCACCACGGTACGACCATGTCTGCCGTAGCTCCCTGCCGCTTGCTTAGCGGCAGAATCGGGGCGCATACAAGGTATCAGGGTATTCAGGGTGATCAGGGTGTGTCGCCGCCGCCGCCGCCGCCTCGCCTCACCCGTCTTCCGTGCCCAGGTGCTGCGCGTGACGGCAACGGACGCCGACCTGGGCGAGAACGCCCGCATCACGTACGCCCTGATCACGCCTACCGACGACTTTTACGTGGCGCCGGACACGGGCGTGCTGTACACGAACGCGACGGTGCGCTTCGACGCCGGGGAGCCGGTGCGGCAGCTGGTGGTGGCGGCCCGCGACGGCGGCCGACCTTTGCTCGGCGCCGCCGCCGCCGTCCGCCTGCGGCTCGAGGACATCAACAACCACGCGCCCGAGTTCAGCCGCTCCGTCTACAAGTGAGTGGGCGGTCACGTGCGCGTGCGCCGCCCGGGCCACGGCGCCGGCTGGACTTTGTCTGCCGTCGGGGATGGGCTGGGCTGGACCGGTTTGGACCGGCGGAGTCTGGTTATAGCTGGTCAGGGGTAGGGCGGCTGGTGGTGGCTACAGTGATTAGGTCTGCTACGATTAAAGAAGACCGCGCGTGGATGTTTCGATCTCGCGTACACCCATCGCTGGAAATGTACCACGGGGCTCCTGTGTAGGTCTCAGGTTTAAGATCGAGTGGTTCGCAACGATAAGAGCCTGATTCACCACGCTCCGAGCCCTGAGTGTCTGGGGACAGATCGTGTCCCGAGCCTGTTCTCCCCCCCCCCCCCCCCCCGGTGATGTGGTCCGAGCGTGTCTGACCTGACGGCCCGTCTGACCCAGGGCCAGCATCGGCGAGGACGCCGTGCCGGGCGAGGTCGTGCTGAGAGTGTCGGCTGACGACGTGGACGAGTCGCGCCACAACCGAAACATCGACTTCTCGTTCGCCCGCGGCAACGAGGACGGCGTCTTCCAAATAGCCAGGTGAGCCGCCGTCTCTGATAACAATTTATGGCTATCCATAGGCATAGTTTTAGCAAACAGATAAATGGCTGCAAACGTCAGCCACAACTCAATAACTGTAGCTAACTTTTCGTCACTCAGCGTGCATGTACATGGTAACTCAGCCCGCACGTGCATGGTAGCACGGCTCTAGTGACCTATAGCGGTGCAGTCATCGCGCGTCATCTGCCAACCATCTGACAAAGTCATCGTGTGCGTTGAATGCTGCTGGTTGAGGTAGCGTACCGATGCGGCCGCTCACGGCGGCGGCCGATCCGCGCGCTGACGCCGCCTGCTCCGCCCGGCAGCAACACGGGCGAGGTGATCCTGCTGCGGCCGGTGGACCGCGAACGGCGCGCCCAGTACGTGCTGGAGGCCGTGGCCAGCGACCGCGGCACGCCCGCCAGGAACAGCACCGCCCAGCTGGTCATCGATATCACCGACGTCAATGACCACGAGCCCAAGTTCAACCAGTCGCAATACGAGGCTAGCGTCAGCGAGCTGCTTCAGGTGAGCACGGCGGCGGGGAGGGGCTGGGGCCGGAGGCAGGCCTCCTCGGGGGGGGGGGGGGGAGGGGATTTCGGCAGCGCTCGCGGCATGGTGTGTTCGCCACCAGGCCAGTTTCGAAGAGAAGTGGCCGACGGACCCGTGTAAGGTGGGCGCCGGCCGGCTTTGATGTGGATTGAGTGACGGCCGCAGTTCACCACCGCCCGAATCCACCCTTACTTCTTGTGCGAGAGGATTGATTTCACCGCGTTGCGATTTTCGTTCACCTGCAATCAAGAGCACGCGGTGGCAGCTGCAGAATGCAATAATTTCCTTACGGTACAACCCAAGCATTTACAGCGCACTACTTGTTCGTGACGGCCCCTCACCCCGTTTTGAACTCTGCGCCATTGCTCGCCTCTGACGCCACGCGCCTCCGGCCGCAGGTGGGCTCGTCAGTGCTGCGTGTGCACGCCACGGACCGCGACGCCGGCCAGAACTCGGCCATCGTGTACGACATCACGTCCGGCAACGACCACGAGGTGTTCCAGCTGGACCGCGACACGGGCCTGGTCCGGCTGCGCAAGGGGCTCGACTTCGACCGGCTGGCCGAATACCGGTTCATCGTGCGCGCCACCGACCGCGACCCCGAGCGGCCGCTCTCGGCGCTCGCCACCGTGCGCGTGCGCGTGCTGGACGAGAACGACAACGCGCCCAGCTTCCCGCAGCCCGTGTACTACGAGTTCGCGACGGAGAACGAGCCGGCCGGCCGGCCCGTGTTCACAGCGCACGCCAACGACGCCGACCGCGGCCGCTACGGCCGGCTCAACTACACGCTGACGGACGGCGGCGGCTGGTTCCGCGTCGACCCGGGCTCAGGCGAAGTCACCACGGCCGCCGTGTTCGACTACGAGGCAAAGGAGGTGTTCGCCTTCGTCATCAGCGCCACGGACCTCGGCGGGAAGACGGCCACGGCGCAGGTGCGCGTCAACATCCGCGGCGTCGACGAGTTTGCGCCCGTGTTCGTCGAGTCGACATACCGGTTCCGCGCGCCGGCCGACGGCCCGCCGGGCTACGTGGTGGGCCGCGTGGCGGCCACTGACCGCGACCGCGGCGCCGATGGCGTCGTGCTCTTCCACCTGCGCACACCGCACGAGTTCTTCCGCGTGAACAAGACGAGCGGTGAGATTGTGGTGCGCCGGAGTCTGGGCCAGCGGCGGCGGCGGACGCGGCGGGACCTGGCCAGCGAGCGTCTGGAGGTGGTGGCATCTAGCGGCCGTCCGGGCAGCTTGAGTGCGCTGACCAGTGTCGAGGTGGTGCTGGACCCTTCGCTGAACGGCACCGGGCTAGCGGCGCCGGCTGGCGGCGGTGGCTTGGCGGACTGGGGTGTTGGCCTCCTGGTGGCCATCCTGCTCATCGTGATGGCATTCGGCGCCGCGTTCGTGTTCCTGCACATGCGCAACCGGCGCATGAGCAAGCCGACGATGGCCGACCACTTCGACTCGTCGTTCGATACGGACATCCGCACGGGGCCGGCGGCCGACCTCAACTACCCGCCGCGCTACAGCGAGATCCACCCGTACGACACGGCCGACCGGCCGACCGGGCGCAACACGACGTCCGAGCTGTCGGAGCAGTCGCACCGCTCCGCCTCGAGCGGGCGCGGCTCGGCCGAGGACGGCGACGAGGACGAGGAGATCCGCATGATCAACGAGGGCCCGCTGATGCAGCAGAAGCTGCGCCAGCTGGCCGTGCCCGACTCGCGGCTGCACGACAGCGACAGCGTGTCGGAGGCGAGCGCGCAGAACACGCAGGAGTACCTGGCGCGGCTGGGGATCGACACGACGCGCGCCGACTCGCACAAGGGCTCGCAGAGCCTGCGCGCCGACAGCATCCACCTGTTCGACGACGAGGGCGGCGCGGAGGACGGCGCCGTCGACCTGGGCAACCTGATCTCGACCAAGCTGACGGCGGTGGGCGCCGAGGAGGACGAGGCTATCATGGACGGCACGCGCGCCTTCGGCCTGGATGAGACGCAGCCGTCGATGACGGGCTCGCTCAGCTCGATCGTGCACAGCGAGGAGGAGCTGACCGGCAGCTATAACTGGGACTACCTGCTCAACTGGGGGCCGCAGTACCAGCCGCTGGCGCATGTGTTCTCCGAGATCGCGCGGCTCAAGGACGACAGCGCGCCCAGCCCGTACGCGGTGAGCGCGGCCAAGCGGCCGCCGCCGCTGCTGACGAACGTGGCGCCGCGCTCGGTGGCGGCGCCGCTGCCGCCCCGTTCTAGTCTCGGCCTCGTGTCGATGCCGTCGCTGCCGCGCTCGCCCATCTCGCAGGAGGCGTTCGCGGCGCAGGCCATGTCGCCGTCGTTCTCGCCGGCGCTCTCGCCGCTGGCCACGCGCTCGCCGTCCATGTCGCCGCACGTGCCGCGCGGCCTGGCGTCGGCGGCGGCGGCGGCGCACCACCGCTCCCACCTGCTGGCCGGCGCCTCGTCCAGCTCCGAGAGTGAGATGCGGATATAGCCCTGGTGTCCGCCATACCCCTCAGGCGCCCTGTGCCACGCTCCACAACAGTATTCCCTTATGCATGCCATTATGTGTCGCCGCGCCTTCATAATGTGATATAGTGTTATTGAACGGAGGAGTGGGGCGGGGCGACGGCCCCGTGCCTCCTATGCCAAATGGAACGAGCCCCGCTGTCAACACACTTGTTTTTGTTGAATGTCACTATCATTTGAGTTTGCGAAATCAAAACTCGGTGTCGTGTAGAGAGCATGCTAGCATTTTGTGTATGTGAGTGTACATTTCGCGAGAACTGTTGCGTTGAAGTGTCAAATACACGATGTCACCAGCGAGCTGTTTGTTTGGGCACTGTGCCAGGCGCGCCGCAGCCGGTCGCAGAGTGCTCGCTGTCCTCATCGTGTCTTGTTGTCTTCTCTGAAAAATGAACCTCGAACCCAAATCTTAACAAGCGCGCGGCAATGGCGACATTTTCCGTTATTCCTTGCATCAGACCTACCGATGGGCAAAAACGTGACTTGCAGGCAAAGTGCGAACTCAAACTGCGCATTGGCCAGTGTTTTGTATTGTTCAACTGATCGGGTGGTTTGCAAGCTGTTCAAGCCGTCTGAACAAGAAACTTCACAGCCACAGGTAGTTGGGAAGTGTCACATGACCAGTTAACCATGCTGGTTTTATTCTGTCATGGTCTTATTCGGCCATGTCCATAACATTTCTTGGGGGTACATACATGAAGGTAGTCAATAAATACTGAAATGGATTGACTGATCGAAGCGAATCACCAAGACGAGCATGCCCGCTTGCTGCAGAGCGCCTCTTTTCGGTAATGCGCGGTTCGTCACTAGTTCTCATGTGCCGGGCATTACAGCCCAATATCCTACTGTAATTTGGTAAGCGGCTCAGGAACACAAGTGCACCACTTGATGGAACGCCAGCGATGGCAGTGACCATTTCAGTGGTCGTGACGTAAACAGGATTCGAACCCGGGACCCCCACGTTGGAGGCGAATGTTCTCACCACTCAGTCATCACAAATTCAGAATCAAGTGCATGCAACATTCGAGGGCGATGAGGTGCCATTTTGGCAGAAAAATCGCTTGAGTTTCTTTGCCACAAACAGCCATACTCAGCCCGCTTCAGATCAAAGCAAACGACAAAGTAAATGAGTGCATCATATCGCGTTAGCGCGCAAAAACCTCGCGCCACCCGGTCAGCGGCGGTGCTGTCGGCTGCCGTGACAGCAGTCCAGGAACTGGTGGCACGACCGCCTGTAAACACGTGCGGGAGACCTGACCGTCCCCTGGCCGGTCCGGGCGGCTGGCTGTCGTCAGGCGGCCGCCGCCGAGGTGGGACGGCCGGCGCGAGGGGACGCTCGCCGTTGCCATGCTGACCGGAGCGGCGAGGATAAAGCAGAACAACGGTCGGCACGTTCCCTTTTTGCATCGCCAGACCGCTCGCGAGCAGGGGGTGTCCAGGCATTGACTGGTATCTGGGGTGCAGGGCCGGCGCGGCGCCCAGCCCCGCCGGACGCGATCACGCTCCCTGTCGGCGCCGGGCCTGACAGCGATGGCCGAGCGCAGCGAGTCCTTGACCGACATTGAGCTTAGAAGACACTCATAAGCCAGTGGTCGTCCACACGCATACGCATACGGAGGCTGGTCGTCGGCTCACGACAGGCGGAATTCGGACGGTACACTTTGGTGCATCCATTGAGTTGTGTTTGCCCTGTAGTCTCCATTGCCGTTGCGGTGTGACTGGTGATGCATGGACAAGGTGATCAGGCGTAATCAATGAGATGCACAATCTTGTAAAGGCAAATCAAACCGTGGTACATGGAGAAAGGCTGAGCGGTTCGCTGTACCTGTTTCAGCCGTGTGGTGGACACGATTTTTATTACATTACGCGCCACTAAACGACGCAGGACAGTTATTGGTGGCGCAAATATCCCTGTCAGCGCCTTTGCATATTTATCTGTCACCTCCCTACATGAGCCCAAGCTTAGGGCCAAATCCCTTTGAAGCGTACTACACCTTGCTCACCCTTTAAAAACCACCAAATTCACTTACCCGTCTATCAACGATCGAAACACGGGTGCTTTTTGGATGGACTAGATGCCCTCAGGTGAAAAATGTAATTATCTTAAGAAGCGCTGGTTGCGCGGGTCTTTGGATGTCGAGCGTCGGCGAGCGTTCTCAACACCGACGAACAGCGGCCTCTGGTTTATTTTCCGCTGGCTGCTGACTTTATCGTGAGACAGGTCCGGTCATGGCACGCACCCCAAAGACGGAGGAGCCCCAAGGCTTGACTGATGCATGTGTGGCTACTTTTCTATTTGCGACCACCACAGACGCAAACAAGATTGCAGAACATTATCAACTAGAATCACGGGTGCTTCGAATGCATCAGACACGCAGGACAGAGCCATACACATTGCGTGCATTTTTTCATGGCAGAAGCCTTTTCAGAGCATGACTTAGATAGAAAGAGACTTTCTGCTAGCCTTGTACAGTTACAATTGTAATTAAACAGCTAGGTAGATGTGTGAGCTGTTTCACATCTTGACACTTAGCATGTTATGCAAGGGTAGTGGACTATATCTGAGCTTCATTGCTCTTGGGACGTTGACAAAGGCCGTTCTAGGCCAAGGTTATCTTAATGGGAGTGTTCTACACTTCTATAGGGGTTCGAAATGGAATAGCCATCTTGAACATTACTGGGTGCAGTTCACAGCCCTGTCCCTCTTAAGACCTAAACCCCTTTACTTGCTGAGGTAAACGTCCGCGAAGATGAAAGGGCTTTTTCGGGGAGAGTATTTCAAGGTCATCTTGACATTCATGATGGTCACAACAGCGTCATTTAAATTCTTCCATTTCTAAGCCATGCGGCGATGATAGCTAAGTAAAATATAATCGTATACAATCTATTTGTTCCGATGAGGACGTATTGCCAAAATATCAACGCATCTATCTCTACATTCTCCTGGTTTTTCTACGAGGAATAAGGCTATCACTTCTCTCCTCTCTGTATCTGATACTTGCTTCAATATCTTCAAATGTGAAACACTCCAAAACAAAACAAGACCAATCAAAATCCGTACCTCACAGTTCCAAATCCTGAAAACGGCACAAAGCATTGTTGGGATAAGGCATCTAACTATGCACAACATTAAAATCGTCCACACAAATATCCAAAATTTGCCTTCATCCAAGGGCAATACTACAATAAAAAATGCATAGGACGACCGCATGCTGCCTTATCTCGCCTCTTGGAGTTAAAGATCCATGCTTTAGCTTTCACTAGCTTTAAAATTTAGACGCATGAAAAGCTTTGTGGAATTTACAGGAACGGGATTTGGCCACGCTTGAGCCAGCCTGACAGTTGTTAACCATTAAATATGATTTTAAAGGATCCTGCTGACAGTGGCAGAAGACGTAAGTGAGGCGAGGGGCCAGTTACTTAATATTTGTCAGCATATCAGCAAGGACGCAGCGATCGCCACCTGTCCCTCCGCAGCGTCCAAGGCTGCCGTTAGACATAAAGGCATGCATACACCAGATCAATAAAGAGCAACAAGGGCCCATCGAGGTTGCCTTTGCCCAGGTTCGGTTCCTATCCTTGGCAATAACCTCACCACTTGACCTGCCTGAATTTAGCAACAAATGAGATGTTAAGACCGACAGAACTTGTTCAAACGATTTTAAGTATTGATGGAAAGGGGTTTTCCTCAGCGTCGTATGGCGGTCCATCCCAATAATTCACTACTCTTTGAGTAACTTATATCTGCCTCTCCACAGTTCAGTTCCTGCCTTTTGCTAATTGAAAGTGGTTTCCCCTAAGTTTTGGCAGAATCTCCAGTGTTCCTTGTAGATCTACCTTGTCTATCCATTTTATAATCGTAGATGGGGCACGTGAGTCATTCAAAGTCTGAGTGGAGTTTTGTTGCTTAGGAACACAAATCTATGGGGTATCTTCTGGCATGCAGCGTGCACATCATTTTACGAAAACAAACGTTTGTTTTCAAGTACTCGATGTTGTCTAAACACAGAGTACAAAATCGCACTCAGCGATTTGCCGTGACCTTTTTGATTCAGTACCTTGATTCAAATCTGCTCGCATTACGAACCTTGATTAGTCCCGGCGTTTCTGACAAAATTTGCGCAAACTCAAGTATGATAAGCCACACTTGCCCCGAATACAAAAGAAGGTAGCTTGATGTAAAAAATTCGGGTATGCCAAAATTGTTCCGAGTTATACGAGCGTATAACACCTATCGAGTCAAATAAACTTGCGTGCACGTTCGGCCACTAATTGGAAACCTCACCTCCCCCACGTTGCCGGATTTCACAATGAAAGGTCAGGGGGACTGGTGTCGGCGACTTGGGCCATTTTGCGAGAAAGGATAGGAAAAATAGGATCTGAAACCGTGAAGCCGTCAGGGAAAACAACGAGGGACTTTTTATCTGCAACATTATTTGAGCGTGGGGGTGCGATCTGAACGAGTTGAGACCGCCCGCTCCGCCTCTCTGGTTTACAGACGTCACCTAGCAACGCTTGTTTTGCGCCGTCACCCAGCAACATTCGTCTTGCTTCGTCAACCAGCAATGGGCGTTTTGCTTCGTCCACCTTCGTTTATACAAGCTATCTGCATGTGTGAGTCATTAGGGCCTTACGACAGCTCAGGAGCTGAGGTCAGGTGGCGTCGCCGGTCTCTCACCTTGTGAGGAAGAGTGGGCACCACGGGGAATCGAACCCCGAACCTCTGGTTTCTCCGACGTTTTCCCACTGTATTACCGCCACCCCAACCTGCGTGCATGAACATTCCTCTTGATCCACGTCCATGCGCTCCTTATTAACACCTTGAGACATATTGTTTCCTCTTGGGCGATAGACCATAACAAACACGCGTTCATTGCGAACGACTGTCTTGTCTTATCTGTCGATTGCGGCACACGGCTTGTCACCCGATAACGTCGGTGAAATACGCGGAGTCCGGACAAGCTGCACTCGAAACCTTCCAACGCGGTATCTGCACGCCGCCCACTGCGCCACCGGTCCACCGACAAAGGCGAACCGAGCGGCTGCAGACATCAAGATCCGTTTGCGAGCAGCCGGGACATCCATCTCGCTATCAGACGACGATAGTGGGAAGGTCAACAACCGAGCGATGTCTGACACTCCGGACACACCCGCTGACACAGTCTCTCGAGACGCACCCGTTCGTGCACGGCCGTCGTGGCGGCGAGCCGACTGTCGAGCATGTCCGTGGGCCGCGTCAGGGTCGGCAGGGCGCAATCCCCAGGCGACTCCGCTGCCGAGGCGGTCAGGTGCTCCCCATG